CGGTAGCTGTTGGCTGGGTTATTGCTTCGATTATTGTTGTTGTTGCTTCGACAGTTGCGATGGCTGTTGATGTTTCAATTGTTGATGCTCCAGTTGATGATGCTTCGGTTGTTGATGATTCGTAATCTTGAGCTTTACAAGGAGGGATCAAAAACAATCCCAAAAACAAAATAATTACTAAAAGAAAATATACGATTTAATTATTGTCAATTGCAGAAAAAAATTTCATAATACCTAGTTTAAACATTGTCGTAGATATGTGAATGTGAGACAACTCAAATTGTAGTGGATTTTATACAACAATATTTCACTCGCTGAAAAGTATCTATGTATACGTTGCTGTAACAATATATTATGGTAATTACGCATGGGACGTATGAGTTCTTGAAGGTAAATCTTTGAAAAACGAAGAAAAGAGAAAAAACTGTTGATAACAAAGGACGGTAGAATCAGTCATCTTTATCTTATGTTTAATAAAGTATGCAACATAAAATTGTTTGATGTCAGGACAACAATCTATATCAAAATTTATAAAGGACACAGACGATGACGTACACACGAGTCATCGTAGAATATGACTAAAGTACAGCCATATTAATTCACAGAAAAAAGATAACATATATATTCTATGTTTATTTTTAATGAAAGAATGACGTGGTACTTATTTTTTCTCGTCTTATTTGTCGCTAATTTATATAAAAATGAGGGAAAGAAAATAGATTAACAATAAGAAAAATATTAAATATATTTTACAGAAATCAGTTTAAAAGTGTACTTTTTATAATTAACAACATAATCATTCTTTAGTAAAAATGATTATACTACAGTTTTTATTTAGTTATATTAACAGCTAACTTGTATATATCGAATCAAGTAACATTCTATTAAAATTTCGCAAAGGAAAAATTGACCGATCAAATGAAATGTTTCTCATTGAAAGAAAATTGTTAATGCAGAATAATTTCACAATAATATCTATATCTGAAAACAAAAACCTTTATGTTATTTACTTTACTCAAACAAATATCATTTAAATATAAAACGTAAATAAGTTTCGAAATTTCAAAATTACAGCATCATTTTTATTTTATAAATATAGTAATGAAGTAATTATGTATAAAATACAATAAATTTATAAAGAGATTAAACTGTCAGTATATTAATACGATTTTGTGAGATGAAAATCAACATATGAACTTAGTCTATAATGAGAAAGAGACGATTACTACTGATTAATAAGTTATTCTGATCATAAACTTGTTTTTAAACATAGTGAATTACGCGATAAAAATAGTAGATATAAACATATATTTAAAATAGTGATAGTTCATACATTTTTTATATTTATAATAAACTTTTTTCTTCATTATTATTAATGATGTTCGAATTATTCATCGAATCTTTGTAAAAACAAAGTTTATATATGAATATGATGTGTAATAATTACTAGTCTTCACACAGTCTTTGCCAATCGATTATATTGGATCATTGAGAAATACATAAAATTATTTGTAACTATCATTTTCTCACTTGAATTTTTGTTTTAATTAAAATTATCAATCATATATCAGATAAAACTATATTTACTCAAAAATTTTTACATTTAAAAAAAGATTACGATATCGCTCCAGTTGCATATACAATCATTGATTATGTTATTTGCGATTTTATTCAACATTATGTTGGATATTTGATCTAAATCATGTTATTATTATTTCAAATATTGTATACGTTTATTAGTGGTGTCATTTTGAAAATATAGTCAATAAAAAAATGTTAGAAAATGTGTCATCACTAATGCGTACTCAAAAAGGAATATTTTATATTTCTGTTTGTGCATAAAGTCGGCCATTGGTTATTAGTAAATATTACAATCTATATTTTTTTTCTAATTTTATTACAGAAATATTCGTTAAGTATGAGTAATTTGCAATATATATATATGCAGACAAATTATTAATTCAATCAATGATTAAGAATATAGCTATGTTTACTGCTCATATTTCTATTTTGTATGAATTCTTATACTAATTTATTTATAATACATAAGATATCAGTGTGAAAGCTGTAATGTTGGATTACATATAACTAATTATTCTCAAGCTTATCATACCTTAAAATACTTTTGATTGAATAAACATCTATATTAACTCTAATAATACGCTTAATTTTTTCAAAAAAAAACCGTCTCAAAAGGATTAAATGAAAGATAATCAATCCTATATAAATTAGTTGTCAGTAAAGATCTGCAATTTTCATTCAATTTATTTTGAAAAAACACTATTTATTACATATAGCGAGATTTGTATATATGTATAGAATAATGAGTTTCTTACTCTTAATTGACATACAAATCAAATTTGCATGTTTGCTAAGTACTTATTTTTATGTAGTATCTTAAAATCTATCATTCAAATAATTACTATACAGAGCAATATCATTTTTTCGAACATTATATATCTTCTGAGAAATGGGTTCCACCTGCTCTTTTCATCATAAGCAGTCATTATAAACGAAGTATAAGTACTTTTTAAAGCAATTGTTTTCGTGTTTACACATTTATTACAAAATTTTATGTATATAAAAAATCAAAACTGTAAAGTTAAATCAAACTACGTTTTGTACTAAACCTGCCACAGTACTGTTCTCATTTTTTGGTATTAGTCGGCTGCATAGCAATGTTAGTAGAATCTGAAGTGTCAGTATTACCACTGGATCGCACGGCGGTTAAAGATGGGCGTACTTTTAGATAATAAATGAAGCCACCAACGATGAGAAGTAATACAGGAATACCGATACCCAAAGACAGACCAAGAATTAATGGCAAACTATTGGGTTTATCTTCAATGAAACACAAAAACAATTCAACATTTAATCAAACTATTAATTATTCATCTTTACTTGGAGGAGTAACTACTGGATATTTAGTTGTTGTTGTTGTGGAACTATGGTAAAAATGTTACAACAGTCAATTGCTGTTAAAAATTACTCGAGATATTATCAGAAAGATTGCTAAACGTAAAGGAAACTATATTTCTTTTATTTTGACATGGGAGAGCAATAAATAATTGAACACAATCGGAATGTTTCTGGATTAAGTACGAGTAACATGTTAGTTTTAAGGTCACAAGATAGCCGTAGATTGGAACTACTAGTGGTTTTAAAACACTAAATTCATAAAAAGGATATTTCTTCTAAATGAGACTGATAATAATTAAAATAATCTATTTCTCTATTCAGGAAAGTAATTAACAATAAAGGACTTCACAAGATCTAACAGTTATTAATCTATGTTCGAGTATTCCAGTAATTCATATAAAAGCATATTTTAATATCTTACGAAGTTGATATACTTGATGATGTTATGCCTTCTTCTGTTGTGGTAGATGTTTGATCCATTGTCTAAATTGTTTAAAGAAATAACAAAAAAAAATTAAATAGAAAAGACTCACGGGAATAGTATGTGTACTTATTGTAGTTGATTCGATTATATCGGATTCTATAAAAACAAATTAATCATTACTAAATAATCATTAAACTAATGTTAGATTTCATACCACAACGATCACCAGTTACTTTTATTTCATCAAGAGCAATAAAAACAAATCCATCCGTAGATTCAAATCGTTGTAAATCGAAATAAAGCTATGCACAAATAAATAAATCTTCATAATTAAATAATAAATTATTGAATTTCTTAATCTTACTTGATAATTAGTTATATTTGGACTAAAACTAAACTCAGTACGATGCCAACCATTGTATGATACATTCGAAGTTTTACCAAATTGATGAACTATATTTCCAACAATATCAGTGCACCAAATAACAATTTGACCAACATTAGGTCGTGTTATATAATAGTAAAAGCTCAAACATGAAGAACCACTTGTACCTAATACTTCGATAAAATATGTAAGATTTTCTCCTGCAGAAGGTTGTGCCATAACATATTGACCTAATCATATTAAAGTGCTTTCACTGAAAAAACAAATATTAAAAAATTTACCAGATAGACATTCTTGTTCTGAAGAATCTCCTGTAAAACAACTGGACACATTCGATGAACTTTCAAGTTTGGAGCAGAAATAAATATCTTTAGAACTTCCATCAAGTTTATAAGGTAATTGACATAATAAATTATTTCCCATAGTTGGAGTAACTAAATATTAAAATAAAACAAGTAAAAAGAATAAAATAAAAAATAATATATTTACTAATAGATGTTACATCGGATAAGGGCATTATTGGATCTATTGATGGATTGTCCAATGTAATAGTACTTGTAAGTGTTAATTCTGGAGTTGATAATCCAACAGGATTTAGTCTACATGGTCTTTCACCATCATCAAATTTACATTCAAGAAATTTTTGACTTTGAATAACAGATATCAGAAATAATTTCCAAATAAATATATATACTATAAAATATAAATCATCTCATAATTACTAATGAAAATAAAAATGAAAATTTTATTGTACTTAATTTCGTCATGATGTGTACATAGAAATGTCGCCGAGTGCAATTTAATTTTTGTTAAAGTATTGAATGTCTTATCTCTTAGTGAAATAAACCTATAGAAGTATACGACGTTTTTAACTAAAAGATATTTCATAATAGAGATAAGAGAAGAGAACCATTTTTACAATTAGAAATAACAACTGACGAAATCTTTTTTTTTCGTATTTATCAAAATATGAATAATACAACGTTTCGTTTTCTTCTACAACGTCTAGGCAGAAAAACAATGTCAATATAAGAATTTTTTGCGCAATATTATTTTTAATAAAAAAATAACACATGTTATAAATAATTCTAGAGAATGTATAAATTTTAACAGAACGAATTTCCGAATATCTTCTCAATTATTTTCTTTGCACATCATTTATTCAAGATTAATTATTTAAATTAGAATTATTGAAAAAATAAAAATAAACTAAATCAGTTGAACTTTATTTTATATATAAAATACGATGTGAGAATTTTTTGGAAAATGGATCATGTAAAACTGGTACGTAAAGGCTAATATGATTGCTGAGTAAAAAAAGAAAACTACTATAGTCTAAAATTTCTATTATTATACGTATATGAATTTGAGGATCAATGGGTAGATCCTAATATTTCTTTCATAAAATAGTTCAAAGAATAATATAAATAAATTAAGATTGGCAATTGAGTGAGTGAAATATCTGACAAATTTAATTTCAAAATGCTTCTTCTATAGATTAATTTATTCGTAGAAAAACTTCAGATATATTCAATAGTGATTGAGAATATTGAGAAAAACAAACAGCAGATCAATTGCAATATTTTTGACACGAAAGTAAAAATGTCACATAATAAATTATTCCAAAATTAAAAATGAAGCCATCTTGAGGGTATGGGTTTCTATCTTACTGTAAGAAATGAAGATGACGAAACTTTAGTTGTCACTTAACTTTTTGAATGATTTTTATTTATATATGCCCTCGTTATAAATCATCTACATCAATTCAGTGTTTGTTACTTATAATTCGGTATCATAAGTATGGACATTGGTTAGAATATGGACAAGAATGAAATTAAAAATTATACCGACATTCTTCCTTTTAGGCAATAACTTTTATATATACATAACACTTTTATTTGATAACTATTCGAGCGAACTAAATCAACTTATTCATAGCATTTTCATTGTTTTTTAAATAAATTATTAGACAATAAAATCTTCTTTATTTTACTGAACATTTGACTATGCTAGAATAAACTCATTTAAAAGATATATGTAAAAACACCTGATATTTGTTTATTAATTTATCTTCTCAGTTGGAAAATGACTTGTTTTGATGTAATCACATGTTCATCAAATTGAAAATTTATATTTCCTAGAAGATTGGTTGTGACGTATATAGGCTTTTGACATTTTTTCTATTTAATTCTCGATGTATTTTGTTCGGCTATTTTATTTTATTATTTCTTCATTCTCATTATAAACTTGAGTACATTTTTGTTAACAAGAAAATTTTAATTATTTATTTTATTGTATGCAAACATATTTTAGTATCGTATTTCGCTCCATCGATACCTGGTTTCTGTATTAAGCATAAGGTGAGTACACATCATCAAAAAAAAGGGTGTGAGTGAGGATCACATTAAGACATAAATACCACTCATACCCTCAAGATTCATTTATCTTTCATTTTCACAAAATTATTGTGAATTAGTTTGTATTATTTTGTCTTTTAGAATGTATTTCACTATAATCAAACTATACTATGGTGTATTCTTTTTTCTCTCTTGCATACTAACACCGATGCATTGCCAAAGTATTTCAATTGGTTGGCAATCATCGATGAATTTATCTCCTCCTGGCTTTCAGTTCTTACCTATTAATTATCAAGCACTTTTTTTGTCTCAAACAAATATTAAATCATTTATTTCTTGTGCTCAAACATGCCATTCAAATAGCAATTGTCGTATATTTGATTTTGATGATCAATCACTTTTGTGTCGTCTTTTTGAAGGTAATATAATAACTATGGGTTCAATAGTTGCTTCTTCATCAGCTCAATCTCGTGTTGGTTCAAAAATATATTATGCAGAACAGTTTAATAATCTTG